CAGATATGATGTGATTAACCCCCTCCCCCCCCCCTTTTTCCAACAAATTTAGCAACTATACAGTGTGTCCCAGATCGCGTGGGATAACATGGGTAACTTTGTTATTATTAAAGATAGAGAATTGGTTAAATGGGCAATGTTTTGCAGTTTTAGATGCTTATTTAAAATTTCCTTATGGAAATTCAAAGTGTCGCATAGGTTCGACGTAAATTCAAAAAAACTAAAATTGGTCATTTCCTTGAATGTCTTATATCATCGAAAGTATAAGAGATATAAGAAAAAGTTTTATATAAAAGTGGCTGTCTTTGATACGCTTAATTTAGAATTGATGTCAAAAAAAAATTCAAGGTGGCTACTTTTGAGGAACATTTACCAACTTCCTAAACTTAAATAGGCGCTATTTGGGATTTTTAGATTACTTGATAGATTTTTTAATCCTCTTTTCAATGAGCCATCATAACATAAGATTGAAAATAAGATACCAGTTATATCAACGGTTTTTATATTTTAATCAAGTAGGCTGTGATGAATTAAAAAAAAACAAAACAAAATCTATGCGAGCCAACAAAACAATGAAAATAATTACATCAGATGTTTAAAAAAATCAGGGGCGCACTCATGAGAGGGGGGTTTGGGCATTACAACTCCCTCCAAAATTTTATATAAGTAGGCCTAGAAAAATTTTGATTTTTATATCATCACTTATTGACTATCTTATTATCCATACTTACATACCTACAAATGGTGGTATAACTACAAACTATCCCCACGAAAAAATGTCATGCCATTATCCAGTTAAACACATTTCAAGACACTTTGCTTTATTTTACACAATGTATTACCATTGATGCATTGTCCCAGGTCACATTTTGTAGGCCAGTAGGTGGTTCATCCGCAGGAATATCGAAACTAACAGTTTTACCAGTCCGACTATATGGATAGATGAATCTTATTTTTCTAACTGCGGAGTGTTCAAATCGACATAATGAACACTATACTCGTCACAAGAAAACTTACATGTTGTAGTTTCTCGCGGAAATCAAGTAATATTTTTTTTAATTAATGTATTTTATGGCATAATGGGAAGTCATGTAATTGGCCGGTAATCTTCGTTGGATCTGAAACTGCTCACCATTATTTACAAATTCTCCAATAAACTTCCTTAAAGGATTTTTCTCGACAACGTATGTTTCGAAGAAAGGGTTGGTTTATGCTACCTACCAACAAACTGTCTGCACTGGTCACAATTCACGAATTATGTACAGTACATTAAATTATAAAAGTAAGTACTTAATTAAAAAGTAAAGTGGAAGTAGCTACCACTACAATAATAATAATAATCATCAATGGCAACACGTTGCCTAAACTAAACTGTCTTGAAGTGTGTTTCACTAATAATGGCCAGTATTTTAAACATCTGGTGTAATTATTTTCATTGTTTGGTTGCCTCGAATAGATTTTTTTTTTTTTTTATTCGTCACAGACTACTTGATTAAAATACAAAAACCGTTAATATAACTGGTATCTTATTTTCAATCTTATGTTATAATAGCTCGTTGAAAGAGAATTTAAAAATCTATCAAGTAATCTAAAAATCCAATATGGCGCCCATTTAACTTTAGGAAGTTGGTAAATGTTCCTCAAAAGTGGCCATCTTGAATTTTTTTTTGACATCAATTCTAAATTAAACGTATCAAAGACAGTAAAAACTTTTTTTTATATCTCTTATACTTTCGATGATCTAAGACATTCAAGGAAATGACCAATTTTAGTTTTTTTGAATTTACGTCGAACCTATGCGACATTTTGAATTTCCATAAGGAAATTTTAAATAAGCATCCAAAACTGCCAAACATTGCCCATTTAACCAATTCTCTATCTTTAATAATAACAAAGTTACCCATGCAATCCCACGCGATCTGGGACACACTGTATATTCATTTGATTTGACTGGGAGTCAAGTTTTCTATAAGACAACATGATTTTACTTTTGCAATTTTTTTTCGTTTTTCTGACCTACTGAACACTCTAGCAACATAGCTCCGTATAAAAAGCGCTTATAATGTAGACTAAAATAAATGTCCGGCGGATAGTCTTGTAGGAATATTATGCGTTTATTATTTCCCATTAATGTACGATTTATATGCGTATATACGAATATTAAAGTGGTGTTATATAAACGTTTATAAAACGAATGCTAAAAAATGGTTATTTATATACGTATTA